CTCCGTGGTAACTTAAATATTAAATTTACGGTTTAGGGTTAGGCTTTGGGTTTAGGGTTTAGGGTTTAGGGTTTAGGGTTTCATGGTAACTTAAACTACATGGGCGGAACGGAGTCCCCAGCTTCGAGCTCCCGAGGCGCCCCTGGTGCTCACGGCGCTGCAACTTCTGCGCCCGGACTCCCCGGAAGCCCTGGCCCTGCGGCTGCAGCAGGACCCGACCGGAGCGATGAAGACGGGTCATAGAACGATGCTAATCTAGAAGCCTAAATAAATGGTTACCAATACTACATAATATTACTGTGAGGGTTCCTTATTGTAAATATACTAAGAGGGAGCCCAAAAAACACTAATTATTCTAATTATCAAGGCCCCCGCATCAGCCAGCGCTGACCCATGTTTACAGAGACGTGCCCACAGGTCATCGGTGAGAGTGCGACCTGCAGGCCACCTATACTCGCTATCCTACGGCCCTTCCGCTCCCTTGCTTTCTTGCTTGCAGAGCTCTTGTTCAGGCCTGGCTTTTGCTGGGATTCCCCCGCCCCGCTTCTGGCCCTGTGAAGAACCCCATTTCAAGCAAGGTGAGGGATTTCGATCCTCCCTCTCCTGCACCTTACATCCTTGTCTAGACGAGAACGCTATCATGCTTTGCTCGTTTTCATTTTCTCTTCTTTCCTTCTGCCTTTGTGTTTGCTGCGGCTTTAGATAAACATTGAACTCTACTTCTGCATTAAATCATCGTATCAATTATAAATCATCGTACACCCGGGTCTATGTCTACCACGGTGTATGGTTCCAGCGGAAGCGAAGGCGCTTGTCTCTGCGTTGCCAGGAGCTGGCGAAGCAGATCGAACCTTTGCGGCGCGGTGAGAGCGTGAGAGTCCGCGCGGAAGAAGTGCGGCTCCTGTGATCTAGAAGCCTGAATAAATACCAACACTTGTTGTTAGGGCTCTTTAATTTTGATTTGACTCTATTTCCCCAGAGCCGCATTCAGGCCCTCATATTGGCCGAGAAAATCGGCCAAGGAGATATCCGGCCTTCTGCGGAGCAGAGGCTCTGAGCATCAGAGCCGAAAACAGCCAGCCTCCTACTCTCGCAGGAGCAAAGCCGTGCACCTTCCATGTAAAAGACGCAAGATGAAAGATCATGCGATGGCTCACGCGCTTGACCAAGTACCGTCGATCTTTCAACTTCTCTCAAACCTGTTTCGCTCCTCTTTTTGTGGCAAGCGTGGAAACTTGAGGTGGGAGGCGTACTGCCTTCAGGCCACAGTCAGTGCAAGCCCTAAGCCCTAAACCCAAACTCCAAACCCTGGGCCTTTTGACCGAAGGCCCCAAGATGCCCCAAGGCCCCAAGGTTCTACCGAACTGAGGCCCCCTGCTGGGTTCCTGTTTCGGAATTTGGCTTAAGTTACCACATTGGAAAAACCTAGTAAATAATATGGTTTCCTTAAATGGGTTGATTAAACTATAGATCCCTGAACAAGAGCCCGGCCTTGGTCGTGTAAGCCCCAACTGATCCTAAGCGCAAGGCCGCCGACCGATGATGCCTTGAGGCTGAGTTTGGGGCTCAGGGTTTGGGGTTTGGGGTTAAGGGTTTAGGGTTCAGGATTTGGGGTTCGGGGAGTGAGGTTTAGGGTTTAGGGTTTAGGGTTCAGGATTTAGGGTTTGGGGTTTGGGGTTTAGGGTTTCGGGTTTGGGGTTTAGGGTTTCGGGTTCGGGATTTAGGGTTTGGGGTTTGGGGTTAGGGTTTCGGGTTGGGTTTGTGGTTTAGGGTTTCGGGTTTGGGGTTTGAGGTTTAGGGTTTGTGGTTTAGGGATTAGGGTTTCGGGTTCAGGATTTAAGGTTTGGGGTTTAGGGTTTCGGGTTTGGGGTTTGAGGTTTAGGGTTTGTGGTTTAGGGATTAGGGTTTCGGGTTCAGGATTTAAGGTTTTGGGTTTAGGGTTTCGGGGTTGGGGTTTGAGGTTTAGGGTTTGTGATTTAGGGTTTGGGGTTTAGGGTTCAGGGTTTCGGAGTGTACAGAGGGAGCTTAATTAGGTGTTCAGGGTGTGCATATAGAGTTGTGTGGAGCTTTAAGAGTGGTGTTCCGAGGTTCATGGTTTGAGAGGTTTCAGAGCTACCCACCCGGCGTAGATTCAATCAAGACCTGAGGTTTGGCCCGCGGACGGTGAAGTGCGGTGTCACAGGGGTTTCTTGTGCTTCTCCGAGGCCTGTGGGCTCAGTCACATGGCATCCGCAGTTTGTTCAGTCCTTCCCTCCATATCTCGCATCTCATGGCTCTCCGTGGCGTGCCTGGTCGTGGCCGTGGGCCCGAGCCTCTGCGTGCGCCCTGAGATCTTCGCAGAGCTCGCGGCGAGTGCCGGCGTTTCTTGCTTGCATTTTTTGCCCTATGACTATATGGCTGCCTCCCGCACTCTGCGCCTCCGAAGCTTTGACCCCGCCGACCTCTGCCAAACTCTGCCAGACCAAAAGCTCAGGACGCAAGACACCGCGTGCGCCAAGCGGGCGGATCGACGTCGGCCTTGGCCCCTTCTGCCCGAGGCTCAGGTCTGCGGATCATCGCAGGATTTCAGCGAGCTTCCGCCCGACTGCGGTGCTTTGGGTGTGTGTAGGATTCAGGGTCTGTGTTCAGTCCGTGTAGGGCTCGGAGTTAGGATCGGGTGGGGACCTGCATGTGGACCGAGGAGATCGAAATCCCGAAGTCCGCGCATCTGCACCTTCCCGTCGAGGCTCCAGCATTCCCCGAACTCCCAAACCCTGAACCCCTAACCCTAAACCTCAAAGCCCAAACCCCGAGCTCTACACCGGAAATCCTGCAGTTCCTAGAAGCCCTAAAGCCCAAACCCCGAAGCCCTTAAATCCTAAACCGTAAAGCCCTGCACTTGCCATTGTTTCCCAGCGGGGCCCGAAAACCGAAATACTGGACGGGCCCCTGCGGCTATTTGTCCATCTAGGTGGTCCACGAGACCCCATTTTAAAGGAGCCCTTACAGTACAGAAGCCAGCAACAAGGAACCCAGTTGTTTTTTTTTGAGCCACGGCACGACTAGGTTATGCTACTGTGCTATTTCTGCTGTTTGCTTGACGGCTCATACTGTACTTGGAGGGTTCACGGGTAGTTACAAGTGGAGTTATAAGAGGCCGTTAACATGGGTTATAACAATAGTTATCCTACTTATAACCCTACTTATAACGACCAATGAACCCCCAAAGTACATGACCAGAAGAAGGAACCATGATAGAACTCCAGACCCACGATTCTCAGGAGGAGCCCGCTGCGCCGGCCAAGCCGCTACTAGCTGGGGGGCCTGGTACCTTTCGCCATGTGCAGTCCAGAGAGGGCTCAAGAGTTTAGGGTTCAGGAAGGTTTAGGGAGGTTTGGGGAGGTTTAGGGAGGCTAGGGGAGGTTTCGAGAGGTTTACGGAGGTTTAGGGCTTGGGTTTGGGGTGTATGTTTTCGTAATATACCCCAAGTGACATCACGGATTCTCTTTAGCCTTTGATTTACGGCAGATTCCTTCCTTGCCTATGGGGTGTAAGGCTCTGGGAGCTCAAAGTGCCACGTTGTTTTCGAGGGGGCCTGCCTGGGGCCGGAGAAGCAACGGTTTTCGAGCCCAAAGGCACGAGTGAGAAGTTGCCAGCTCCTAAATGTTTTATAGTATTGCTGCAGTCTTATATTATTGTATATTCTTGTTATTGTGGTAGTTAGTATTAGTTAGCATCTGACTTTCCGAATGAGAGTTACCTGAACAGCACCGGCATGCTGAATCCCTCGTAGTTGCCAAAGCTGAGCTTTCGTATGGTTGTGCGTGTGAAGTGTCGGAGCAGGAAGGGGGAACAGACCCACGATACCAGGCCCACCTCAGTTTCAGCTTGTTTCCCATAGCTTGGCTACTTGTTTCGCTTTAGTCCATCGGTAAGCCGAGAGTCTGCCGTAGATCTGACCTGGCATAGATTCTACGGGCCCAGGTCAGACCTACTTCTACAGCGCAGAAGTACGAAGTATAAGCTTCAGAGTCAAGAGAGTTTTCAACTCCGCCCCCTGGCACCTTGGAGGCCAGAGCCAGCAGCGTGGCTGAGACGGAGACCGCGGACTCCCCGAACTGTGCCTGGCTCTGCAGAAGCAGCTCTCCGTTTTGAAGCTGTGCTGTGGTAAACCGAGGCACTGGAGACCTTGAGGCCCTCAGGAAGCTGCAGATCGGCGGAGAGGGCGATTTCTGCGACTGGCCCGGCATCCGCTGTGATGACCAGGGCTGCGTCGTGGAGATCACTTGCCACGATGCGCAGGGCGACTTGCATGCCGTGGCATCCCTGCGGCAGCTTGAGCGCCTGGACCTCTCCAACTCCAAGGTCTCTGGGGACGTCGCGGACCTGGACCTGCTTGGACGACTCCAGCACCTCGATCTCTCCCGCACAGGGGTTTTGGGGGACATCGAAGCCTTGAGCGGCATCCGAGAACTCCATCACCTCGATCTCTCCCGCACAGAGGTCCGCGGGGACGTCGATGCCCTGCGTGACGTCCGACAACTCCTTTACCTCGATCTCTCCCACACATGGGTCTCCGGAAGCATCGATGCCCTGCGTGACGTCCCACAACTCCATCACCTCGATCTCTCCCACGCAAGCAGGGTCTACGGGAAAGTCGAGGCCCTGCACGTCCTCCGACAACTCCATCACCTCGATCTCTCCCACACACGCGTCGAAGGGAACCTCGAGATTAACGATGTGCCGCTCAAGCATCTTGACCTCTCAAAGACGAAAGTCAGTGGCAGCTTGGAGAACTTGGAGAACACCACTGGGTTGGAGGTCCTGAATCTGGCGGCATGCAACATCAGTGGCCAGTTTGCGAGCCTGTCAAGGCTTGGTGGCTTGAGGATGGTGGACGTCACTGACACGAAGGTAGAGGGACGCCTCGAGGACTTGAGACACTCCTGATCGTCCTTTGTCTACGGCTCTCCGGCGACCTCGGGGCCTTGAGCGGTGCGACGGATCTCGAGATCCTGGACATGCAACACAGCCAGGTCACGGGGAATCTGGATGCCTTGCAAGGAATGACACGCCTCCGGAAGGTGGACCTGCGCGAGACCCACGTCTCCGGCAGCCTCAACTTCCTGGAGGGCAAAGGGAAGATGGAGTCCCTGAATTTGGCCTACACGCAGGTCGCGGGCGAGCTCGGCCCCTTGCGAGGCCACGCTGCGCTCCGCATGGTGGGCTTGCGACGAAGCCAAATCGCTGGGGAACTCGCGCCCCTGAAGAACCTCAAAGAGCTCCAAACATTGGACCTCGCCGAAACCGAGGTCTCTGGAAGCCTGGAGCCCCTGGCAGGGCTGACTCGCTTGGAGCAACTGCGGCTGGATAAGACGAGGGTGTCGGGCCCCCTGGCTCCTTTACAACATCTTACCGAGCTTCGGGTGCTGTCTCTCCACGACACGACCGTCTCCGGAGACTTGGAGGCTCTCCGGCCTCTCAGCCAACTCCAGGAGTTGTATCTCAGCAAGACCGCTGTCTCCGGCGACCTCGCTGCGGTTCGGGGGCTCACAGAGCTCGAAAAGTTGGTGCTGGGCGGGGTGAAGAACATTCACGGCCGGCTGGAAACCCTGGAGAATCTTACGGAGATGACGAGTCTGGAGCTGTCTCAGACTCAAGTCTCTGGCAACGTCAGCGCTGTAAGAAAATTGAGACTTGGTAGTGGAGCAGATGGTTTATAGAGTCCTACCGTAATTGGAAAGGTTTACCTTTTTTTGGCTACAGTACTGAGCCCCTAAGGCGCAATCTGGCCGTCTTGGATCTCCAGGAGACGGGAGTCTGGGGCAACCTCGAGGTCTTTGGCACGCTCGATCTCCATGTCCTCAACCTCCGCCAGACTGCAGTCTCGGGCACTGTGGCTGATCCTGGGCTCTCGTTAAGGAGCTTCGTTTAAGTCACCATAAATATAGAGATCTATAGTACATATTATGGTTTCCTTGATCTGGTAACTTAAACTAGATCCCTGAACAAGAGCCCCATTGTGGTAACTTCAAGTAAGTTCCTTGCAAAAACCCAGGATCTTAGAGGAAGATGGTTGCTTGAACTCTTGGACCTGAGAGCCACAGCCGTCGGCGGCGAGCTGGCAGATATCGCAAAGCTCAGAGTCCTCGAAACGGCGCTTTTGTCCGGGACTCGGGTGAGCGGGCTGCTTTCCGACTTGCAGAGATGCTGCTGGAAGTTGCGGGAGCTGGATCTCGCCATGCGGCGCTCAGTGGCTTTGTAGCTGCGTCTTCATGCTCGAGCCTTTGGGGGATCTCGTTCTCAGGAGAGCCGAGTGGGTGGCCTACGGCCTTTGGGAGAGGAGCAGCCGCCCCGGCTGCTGCCCGCACTTGAGCGCCTGAACGCCTGCAGCTCAGTCTCCCTCGCAGGTGCCCGACTCGTGGTTTACCCGTTCGGATTCCGCACATGAGTTATATTTTTTTGAGGTGAGCGGCTGCCCGCTGAATGGCACTGCCGCAGAGCTCTTGGTTCCCCTGGCGGGGACACCGCTGCAGAGCCTGGCGGCCGCCCGCAGCGGCCTACGCGGTGAGCTGCCAAACCAAACCGATGGCGGGGTCGTCAGCCGCTTGGAGAGCAGCCTGGAATACCTGGACCTGGCAGGAAATCAGCTGAGTGCCATTCCCCGCCTGGGCGCAAGCGTAACGTATTTGGATCTCAGCAGCAATGCTGGCCCGATTCAACTTGGCCACGGCGTGCTGAACCAGGCTCCTCCCAACTCTTTTTCATTCGTTGGGATGACAGGTCTCACATTGCTTGGATTGTACGCAAAATCTAGCTATCGCAGTTGCAGGTGGTGATGAACCACACAGAGGTGTACATGGAGGGCACGCGCCTGCAGAACCCGGAGGATGTCCAAGAGGAGGCGCGGCGTCTCAAGGAGGAGCTGCCCTTGCAGGACTCCAGGCGCCCCTGCTCAGAAGAGGGCTAAGGGCTACTCCCATGACCGTACAGGGTTTAGGGCTGAGGGTGTAGAGTTTAAGTTCCTGGACTCGTGGTCTCTTTGCACTGGCCACCCTAAACTCCAAACCTATATAAACTCGATAGTTGTTGTGAACCCCGCCAGGAGAACCCTGCACGCCGAGGGCTACGCCTGCGCTCACTTCGCGCTCCCTGCGCTGCGTGTCACCCCGGAGCTCTTCTTGCCCCAGTACCTTGGGGACCAAATGACAGGGTTTAGGGTTTAGGGTTTAGGGACACGCTTATACTATGATACCCTAAGCCCTTCATCAGTATAACTATAACAACTCTTAGAGGAACCCGTAAAGACACCCTTACAAGGGACCCACTTTTAGGGTTCCTTTTGTCCTCAAGGTACATGTGCAAGTGCCGGCCCGGCCACTTCGGAAAGGGTGCCACCTGCCAGGCGTGCGAAGCTACGAAATATGGGGGGCTTAATGATAGAACAGAGTTTCGGGGGTATTTGTATACGATAATAACCATATAAGGACTGTAAGGGCATATTCCTCTATTCATTGTTTCTTATCGGGACATGTATGTGGGAGAGGCCTGCCCCGCCGGCACCTTCGCAGATGACGAGGACCAGCCGAAGTGTGAGGCGTGCCCAGCCAACAGCACCTCGGCCAATGGCTCTGCGGCTCTGAATGCCTGCGATTGCAGCTACGGCAAGCCTCGGGGCGAGAAGGGCAACCGGAGTTGCCAGTGTGACGCGCCTCGGCTCTTGTTAAGGGACTCAATGGAAGCTACCACGATACAAGTAGGGATCTACAGTAAAGAATCGGGCTTCCTGATTAAGTTCCTTATCCAGAACACAGGCTCACACGGCGCAGCTTGGTGGCCTCTGTGTGCCATGCAGCAAACTCCACATCGACTGTCCTGAGCCCGGCAGCATCGCAGCACATGCTCCGGTGGAACATGGCTATGCCCGCATCTCCGGCTCCCTTCAGGTGGGA